CGTCATTCTAGCTCGTCACAACAAGAACACACGTTACCTACCTTTAGTGATAAATCTTAGTCTCTCCCATTATAAAACTTAATCTTTTTCGCTCTTATTTTAATAAAACATGTGATTAATACATCAAGAACTTAATATCAATAAAAACGGTAACAGTAGAGATGTTAATTAGTCCTTAAGGATCAAGTCCTGAATGATCTTTTAACAGGATGATCCCAGTCTGATCCTAATTTTAGAAAATTTCGATCTCACGATCCCACTTAGTCATGTGATTAATTATAGAACTAAGTTATGTCTATAGATGATCTGAAATGATTTGTAGAATCATCCTAGATAATATTAATATATAGTAATATAATAGTGTCATTTTGCTATTCTCACTCTTCCCTCTCCATTTCGCTCTTCCCTCTCCCTCTCCATCTCACTCTTCCCTCTCTCCCTTATTTTTGGTATGAGAAAGAGGATTTTGACTTTTTTTTGTTATGTCGTGTCCACGTAAAAATAACCTTGTGACATAAAATGATCATAACACGTCACAAACATGACTTCTTTCTCTTACTCGAAATACATGACAAAAAAAATTAATAAGTTTTGAAGACACTCAGGCTACTTCCAATTCAAGCACGCACAATGATTTACTAAGTGAGCCAGTTTTGTTTCTTACTGATGATGTAGATTATAATGAAATATTACTTAATGAAAACCAGGAAGAGAGTTTCATGTCAATAAGTAGCAGATTAAGCAGTGCACCAAGCCATACTCCAAGCATTAATAATACTCTGGCAAAACATAGAAAGATAGCTGCTGTACATAATTATATTATTGAACAATCTGATGGCTCAACAGTTTGTAAAATATGTCGTGTTCACTTTGGAAAGAAGACTGCAATATCAATAATGACTCGACATTTTGATGCAAAACATCATAGTACTTATCTTGTAATGAATCAGCGCCCTCTAGATATCCAACACTTCCACCCATATGAACACAAAGATCAAGCAAAAGTCGATGATATCAACAAGAAGTTTATACATTGGATTGTCACATATCAAATGTCATTCATGCTTACAGATAGCAAGTGGTTTAAAACTTTTGTTAGTGCACTTAATAAAAGATATACACTTTCTTGTCAACAAATAATTGCAAAATGAGTAAGTGATGGATTTGATAGCTAACGTGTTCAGTTACAAGCATATCTCGTTCAGCAACCTGGTAAATTCTCGTTAACAGCTGATATCTGATCAGCATGAAATATGAAATTATTCCTCAGTATTACGATACATTGGATCAACATAAATTAGCAAATGCAAATTATACTTCTTGATATTGTTCCATTGCAAGATGCGCATACAGCTGAAAATATAACTAATACAATTTGCAGTATACTCAGTGACTTTGTAATTAGTGATCAACTTTTGAGTATTATCATTGATAATGGAGCAAATATGGTTAAAATGGATTCTTTGTTGCATAATAAGATTGAACAACAATTCAAAAATCTGAATGTTATTCACTTATATTGTGTTGCACATATTCTGAATCTAGGTGTACATACAGGATTACAAAAGATAACATCAGAAATCAAAAAAGTGCGTGCTTTTTCTAGCAAACTGCGCAATTCGTCATTACTTTTGGATGACATAAAAAAATTACAAGATCATTAGAAGAGAACTTCAAAATGCCAGAAATAGATGTGTCTACTTATTGGAATTCAACATATCTTATGCTTCAATGATTTGAGGAAATCAAGATAATGATAGATGTTCTTGTTGCAAGATATGTACTTTGAGAATATGTATAGTAGGAAGTATCGTAATTTAGGTGAATTAGTAACTAGTATGTTCTATGAAGTATATAGGAAATAAAGAAATATATGAGTCTTGTCTGAGTATATGCCTAAATATAGTGTATGTATGTGTTAGTTGTGAATTGTTCCCCTCCCCGTGCCTCACTCCTAAAATGCAGCAGACAAAACAAATCTTCTCGGAGGAGATTCTAAATTTTAATAAGTATCTGCTACATCGTCTAACAACGTAGACTCGAATAGAGTCATAGGCACTTCAGATCCGTCGGTGTCTACATTACGGAGTAACTCCATTCAATGCAACCTGTCTACAACGTATAGTACAACGTAATAATGAAGCGTAATGCGTAAATACATCGTATGCTACAAATGTGCACAACGTAATTGCAGCGAGAATGGAATTGACTACATAATGGAATTCGACCTGGAGGGATCGAAGAAGGGGGAACGTGGAGCAGAGCGGAATGGGCCGACTGAGAGCATATACAGAGCTTGCGACGTATACACTAACCTCCATAGCGCGTAGTCAATGAATCGAAACAACAACTGAAGGATACTTAGGGGATACGTCCCACTAAGAGAGGGGAATTGGGGAACCGTCCCCACCCACACCATTTGAATCCACCTAGGATAGAGCTACAGACTGGTATATCGGATAGTGTGTTTGCCAGTAGATAAATGTATCAGATGAGAGTCAGGGGTAAACTCATGTGTTTGTGTAAGCGTAGATTCAAATAGAATGCAAGTTCATCAGTGACCAATGGAATAATTCAGATGTAGTCGCAGTTCATGTGTCAAGTAAGAGATAGCCAATGGGGGATGTCTAACACTTTTACTATATATCAATGATCAACAGATCAATGATAATATAACATTGCATAGTAAAAGTGGAGATCCTGCTCACCTGCCATAAAAGGGGGCGAACTCACTAGTAAAACATAGTAGATCTGTGAGTGATCATCTTGAGAAAGATCCTGCCCACTAGTCTAAATGTATAAATTGTAGATCCAATAAAAATGTAGATCTGTAGGGAAAACGTATATAAGAAGAGCGTTGCTCACTATCGCCCAGATATTTTCGTTTCAATCCACCCAAACCCACTGGATCCACTCAACAGAAACTGGAATTAAATGGTTAGTAGTCAATGGTTAATGAAATTAATGAAATGAGTAATACGAATTCTAGTATGCGAGTTAGATAGAAATATGAAATAGTAACTAATGCCTGTTCATTGTTCATTGATTAATGCCCAATTCACCCAATCGAATAGATGTCCAATCCAGAAGGTAGTCAATACGGTAGTAGTCCCAATCAGTCCAATCTGGTGTCTGGTATACATGGTGAATTAGGCTTAGGATATAGTCATTACATAGTGTCTGAATCATCTCTAGTGTTGGAATTAGGCTCAAATGTATTGTTTAGTGTCAGTTCTAATGGGTATCATGTTTATAAAACTAGCCCATATGATAATATAGAGCTTAAATCGTGTATAGAGTTATGGAATAATGAATTGGTACATGTTGAAATGTCTAGTGATGCTAATACTCAGAAGATAATTAGGTTAATTGATGCTATTGTCAAGGAAGAGGAAGCGTTCGTATTGGCCTATTCGGAATATATTATGGACAAAGAAGGGATATTATGTGTTAGTGTCGAGAAACTTCAGAGTTATGTAGATGTTAGTAAGCTTAATCGATGGCTGTTAAATGATATAGTGACTTTATATGGTTCAACGTTTGATAATTGGTTGCGTGCTGTTAGGAGATATAAATTATTGTACTTTGAGAATATGTATAGTAAGGAGTATCGTAATTTAGATGAATTAGTAACTAGTATGTTCTATGAAGTATATAGGGAATAAAGAAATATACGAGTCTTGTCTGAGTATAAGGTTGCTTGCCGAAATCTCTTAGTGACTGTCTAAATTCTGTCGAAATTATAATAAACTATTAGTAAATAACCTGTCGAAATTCTGACAAATTTTGAAACCCGTCGTAACCGAAATTATGTCGAAATTCTAATTAACAATTAGTGTGTAAC